ATAGTTTTAGATGAACTTCAATAAATTCAATCCTTTCAGTAAGCAACCTAGAAAAACAATGAAGGAGGATAAGACTCTTTTTCCAAACCCATTTAAAATAGCCAAAGTATAACTGTAATCTTCTAAAAAATCACATTTAAAATTCCTTCAAAAGGGCAAAGTTTGAGAGACACTGGTGCACCGCCATGCACGCTCACGATGTATGGCGCTTGGCGTTTGCTATGATCCCTGCTTTTCTTCAGTTTAAGCGAGGTTTCGCGAGCCGCTCGCTAGATGTCCCAGGATATACCTGGGGCACCCGAAGAGCCCCGTTTCATTCGCGCTTTATCTCTCTTTCTTCGTGAAAATCTTCCGCGAAGTTTCTCTAGCCGCAATTAACTTTCAAAATCGCGAAACAAGCGGCTCCTTAATCAACCGTGCTAATTAGTTCGAATTCGGAGTTTCACCGCGATTCTGACTCACCTCCCTGGGATATTATCCTGGTAGTCCGTCCGTTTCCTCTTCGATGACGTTTCTTATTCGGGGGTGAAGGAGACGTCACGCGAATCGACATCCCTCCGCGACGATTTTCGGTTATCGAGGTACGAGTGAAGTTGAAGTTATGGCGTTCGCGATCAGACTAAATTTTCATAGCGATTGGCCACGTTTTTATATATATATTTCCTGTAGTAATCTCCGATTCCATCGGGGTACAGTTAGGAATGCGCGTGAACTTGCCAACGGGGCACCGAGAAAATAAAAATAAAAGTAACAGAAAAGTGTTGCCGGGTGGGATTCAGGTCATGAGCGGGGGAACGGTGAACCGCTGCTCCAAACTCATCGAATATGTAATAGACGTTACTAAATAGCGTTAGATAGTGGGAATTATCCTTTTCGGCGCGACTGACGGTCGTCTGGGGCGAATCGTGGAGGACGCGATGTCTTCTTGTCCCTTGGTTCACTGTTTCGTTGATTTTTTATCCGCATTGTTCAGGAGTATAGAGGAAACTTCTCGTTTGTTCTTGGAAAAAGTTGGGCACATTCGAGTAACCAAAAGTGTCAATGTAGGCCCCAAGTAGAAAAAAAAGTTGTACAGGGGAATCTCTAACCAAGTACCTTCATATTTTTACTTACCCATTGAGAACCTTTGAGGGATACATAAATTTTCATAATCATAACTAATCCGCACATTCTATGCATATTATATCGCTTGCAAATACGATAATTACACGTACAGAATGCGTGCACTTATGAAAAATAAAATACATTCTGCATGCATATATTTCATACAAGGTTATCGTATTACCACACAACATAGACGTTGTACCATGTCAGCCAACCCAACGTAGCAAATACAGTAGAGACTCCCGTATCCGAACTAATAGGGAGACAAAAGTGGCTGGATAGTGGAATCTTTGGATAATAGAACAATTACTTTCTTTCGCATTAAATATCATTTATTCAAGTAGTAATGAAGAAAATTGAGTTCCTTTCAACGTCTAAGGGTCCCATATCTTATTAGCCACTAAATCACGTAAACTTTTTTTGTAAGCAGCTGCGTAGAATTACATCAGACCGTAGAAGTCCTTTTCCAAATGACCGAGATGCTTCCATATGAGAAGGCACGTTGTGCGGATAACAGGACATACGGATGATAGAACGTCCGTATATTAGAGGATTCGGATAATGGGTGTACGGATACGGGAGTCTCTATTGTACTCAAATAAGAACACTATTGGTAGGGCGTGGCGATGATCCAGTAGGGCAAAGCGTTCACTGTGAATCCAGAAGATCTGATTTCGAATCCTCGTGGCTTATTTTTCATAAATTCATAAATTCCGCAGTCTGTCGCCCGCTTTTCACGCAACATTTCATTTCATTGGACATTACCCGTCAAACTTAATTGCCTCTAAGCCCCCGTTTAGTCTAGATCCGTTACTGCAGTCAGCGCAAGCCTATTTATCCGTGGTTCGGTTTCCACGTTGCATATAAATTAGATGAAACTTGTTGGTAAACCCGTCAGGATCCTCTTAGTTTTAAGTATCCCATTTGCAACTACAGTTGCATTGAGACGTTTTACGAAGACGTTATTTATCGCCACTCGTGGATAAACGATGGGAACGGGAGTTGAACAGTTAAACAGCTCGAAAGCTCGCGGGAATAATTATCTCGTACGCGAGGATTAAGATGCGTGTAAACAAATTCCGGTGCATCGACACGCGACGCTTCTGGACCGAATTAAACGAGTCGAGTTGACCTACTGGTAGGGATGCTAACGGTATCCATTTGCATTGGGTGCCAACGTGTCACCGGGACACCGATTTTTGATAGTTATGATAAGAACGCTGCAGTTTTCGTCGCATGGTGCATCTGCGCATTTGGCAGTTGCTCTTTTTCCAAGTAAAGGAAATGATCGCGTAGGTAAACCTCGACCGTGGAGTCTAGGATCCTGGGTTTAAACCTCCAGCGTTAATTTTTGAACTCCTACGTACCTTATATCTTAGTCTACCACCGTCCAAAATCTTGTATCAACTCGCAAAGGCTAGAACCAAGATCCATGTCAGTGGGACAGTTTCTGCCAACCACCGACGTCCACTCGATGTCCAATGGAATTATTTGCACTCTTGAGACGTAGTACTCGATCCTCGATTTTTTGCGAGAAGTAATCGCGTCTGAGATAAGTCGCTACGTTTATACGACGTGTCTGGGATCGTTTATCTTGATAAGATAAACATATCTGCATTCGCGACCGCGGCTCGGATTAGCGGTCTAGAGGAAAGTCGCATATTAAGTGTCCACATCTGTTACGGTCGGGCTCGCGTTTACCCCGTTGGGTTTCAGTGTGAACATAAACAAGAGGTAGAATATCGGCGACGTTAGGAATGATCGACGAAGAAAAAATTAGGTGCGTTTGGCCGGCCGCCAGAACGCAAGAATTCTCACGCTTGGGGCGTCCGCGATGCGCCTAGCCACCGTCTTGATTCCGTCGAGGCCCATTCCGCGAGTAGCGTCGTTTTGCCGCGTAACTTTGCCACGTCTGCTTGTGTAACTGTTGGGCTGATTCGAATAATTTCTTGGGAAAACAAAACCCCGGAACGTTTACGCGCGCCGATTCGAAACGGAATCGAGACGGTCCAGGCGGCTTGCGCCAGAGAACTCGCAGCTTCGACGTAAACAACGCAAGGTTTGTTTGCGCGAGTGATATAAGAAACGACATTACTTACGGGATACACAGCCGCGAAAGTATTCTGAACGCTGGCATTCCAAAGTGTTGCACAAATACACGGTGTAGATCATAGTTTTCGAAATAAATAAATACCGTGAGCGAGGCACGAGTACGTAAGTGTGAGTATGTAAAATTGCGTAGCGATCTGATAACGCGTAAAGAGTTGGTAGAAGATTTGAAACGTGCCTTTTACGGAGGTCGCTAGATTATGCTTGCATTGTTTTATGTTAATATTTCGTTGCAACACCTTTGGCATTAATTACACGTCCGAGCCGACGTGTTGTTTACAAGCCTGAACGCGAATTTATCTTACGTTATAGTTGTACTAATGGGTGCATTCGTATTCGAACAGTTCAAATTTTTCATTTCTCAATTATTGGGAGTATTTGGTATTAATGAAGTCACTTGGTAGGTTACTAAATACGTCTTTAAAGTGGCTTTGTGAGTGAATAAAACTATACTGGTAGATTTTAATTGATACAATCGTGGTATCTCAAGTGATAAGGTTAGGTAACACGCCCAGTATGAAGATAATATTTGTATTAAATACAATTTTATTCATAAAATAAGTAAAAATTTCGTATATATTACTCTTACTCCTATATTGATAATGGGAGTATTCATATAAAAAAGTATAGTGTATCTTTCAATAGATAAAGTGTTAGAAATGATCTCTCCTTCCCTGTTGGAATGTAGGGCAACCTCATACAGGGGGTCGCGTCCCCAAGTTTGGGGGAACGCAGTTGGTTTGTTGATAGTTTGCGATGCAAGCATTGGGATGCTTTCGCGCTTAGCTGTATTCTTGGCAGGAATTCGCGCGGAACGTTAAACGAAAGAGACAACGCCGAGCGGAACGATCCCGCATTCGGGGTGTAGGTATAGAAACGAAAACAAGTCGCGTCGTTGTACGGGACGCGCCGATAATTCGGAGTCGTCGGTATTTTCACGGCGCGCCCCTGTCGTTACGTGACCTGCCCTACGAACCTGTTTGTAACGGCAGCTATTCTACGCGGAGCGCTGTCAAAAAGGCCCCGTAGGGCCCTCTCCGTCTACCATAGACTCTTCTGTTGGGCCCTTCCCCTCCGTCTCCCTCCCTTACGCCGCGCGGTTTCACCCCGAGCCCGCCGGTGTGTCGATTTCTCTCTCTGACGAACGGAGAAAGTGAAGGATGAACGAGCTGCAATGGCGGGGCACGCCGCGCGGAGGAGTAGGTTCTGGAACCTCGAGGCCCGAGGTAGAAGGCAGCTTGGGTGGGCGGCAGTTGTCCAGGCTGGCGCAGTCTGTGTCGAGGCGACGTGCTCTACACGACGGAGCGGCAAATCGCGTCTTCTCCAACTCGCAAGCCGCACGCTCGCTCTCCTTCTTCTTCCCTTCCCTCTTTCCCGCTATACTCTCCCTTCCCTTCTTTCTATCCCTTCACGCCGTCTCTCGTTGCCATTCCTCCTCTCCCCCGAGGTCCCCTTACCCCCTTGACGGCGTCGTTCCTTATCCACGGCGCGTTGCTCCTCTTTCCTCGGCCCATTCATCCTTCTCGGTCCACCTTTCCGTCTTTTTCCGTTCGAGCGTTTCTCCGACGCGCACGTTCCTCTCTCGCTCGAGAGTCTCTCGGCCGTCCTCGTCGCGCAGCGGCCTACAGCTACCTGGCCGTGTTACGGCGGGGTTCCGGATACGCGCGTCGACTTCGTCAACGTTGTGTCGTGCGGTACGCTCTCCGCCACGGAATTCCAGTGCCACGTCTCGAGTTCGAGCTGACGGTGGGTCGCGGTGACGGTTCGGTTCGGCTAGGTTCGATTCGATTCGGTTCCGTGGTACGTCGTGTGTCAAGTCGTGTTGCTCGGGATTCACGCCGATCGGTGTCGTCAGTGTTTACTCCCACTCTTATCGTCGTCGTTCCTGTCAGCCAGTCACGGTAAAAACACGTGCATTGCTCCCAAGTGACGGACGTGCAAACGACACACGACCATAGGCGATAACGCACGCGTTCGATCAATTCCGCGAATTGTGCGAGCGACGAGGAAAACAGAAGGAACTCGCGGGTGTTTTTGTTGACTTTGACACGTGCGCGACGAGCATCCCGTGGCGAACGGAGCACGTTGGAGAGTTGTTTTGGTTCATTCTTGTTTGGTATAGGCATTCGCATTCGGAGAAATATTTCGACAAACCCCCGTGGCCCCGTGAGCAAAACACGAGGCGTTCCGTGAGTCACGCTTCGTTCCGTGGCACCTCTCCCTGTTATTCTACCTCTGTCTCCGACTCCGCGGTCACTCTTTCTCGCTCGGTCTCTGTATCTCCGTCTTTGTCCTGTCCCTTGAACGCCTATACAGGCGGACTCTCTCGTTCTCACTTCGACCTCTCGCTTCCCCTCCCATTAACGCGAGCGTTTGTTGGTAATCACGAAACGGCATCGAGACCCGAGACGGAGCTGATTCACCAAATAAGAAATACGTGTATCGATATTATATCGAGTTCATTCAAGATTTCGATCCACACTCTCGTTCATACGTGGCTCGCCATTCGCCAGTCGTGATTCCTAGAATTTCCATCGGGCTCGACGAGGTTTGCGAGAACTTACAACGGCGATTTAAAGGTTCGGGGAACCACAATACTTTTGATCGCGTCACGACACTTACGTCGAGTAGGGAGGAGTTGAAGAAAGGTACTTGGTTGGAGTGGAGAAAATTACGGGTTGAACCTGTTCTTTTTTGGAGCAGATAACGAGGAGGTTTATTGGAATCTTTTTTGGTAGAATGTGTGATGTGTGTATCAGGTATAGAGATTAATTCCGTGTCCTTAAGTAGAAATATTTAATTGGCATTTTGTTATTATGTGTTAAGGTACCAACATTCTGGGTTCTCGACCTGGTCTCCGTTACAGTGAATCAATACATGTATTATACAACTTGAGTCGAAACCTGATGCCCATTGCAACGTATGTATATGTATATACGAAGATTGTAGTTATACATTTTCGCTTATTATGATTACTGTGACTGACTACAAGCGTGCTTGACGCAGTAGTTGTATAAGAGTAACAATAAGCAAAATTTGATTGGTTCTTATAGATGTGTTGCAAATGACCATCAGGTTGAGATTTTGGTTCATGTGAGACTAGAGTTATAAATAATTGAATATTTATAAGAGGCACAGAATTAATTTCTACTCCTAATCAAATATTTACAAGTGAGGGGGCAGGCTGTAACAGGCCGGTTTTTAATGTCAGCGTCTAGATAGTGTTCAAACTTCAAGGTAATTTTGTAGTGACGTTTCTAAAAATTGAAAGTGTTGCTCTTCTCGTGTTTGGAATTTAAATTTTATTCAAGTATTTCGTTACCTCGGAGTGTGGTACTACGTAGTGCCAGAAAGGTGAAGGCTAGCTGAGAAAATTCGTAAGGAAATTCTGCTTCTTTATCGAGACCATCTTCATATAAAATATACAGAAATTGATCGTTTAATTCTACATGACACAATAATTTCGTCTTTAGAAAATAACGTGAGAAATACTTCCATTCCAGTACATTTTCTTATATGCAGCATATGAATTATTAGGATGACTGAAAAGTAATCAAAATTTTATCAACATTTATTTATTAAAGAAATCGTAAACACTAATCAACGAAATAATTTCCATCACTTTCTAACGCTTTTTGCCACGCTTTTCCTTTTTTTAAAAAGTCTTTCGATTTTTCATTGATAAACTTTCCCAAGTCGAAGACATTTTGCTTACTTATCGGTCCCCCTATGGTTTCATATACTATTCAGTTCAGTACCACGTGAAATATTTTTGTACTCGATTGAAAAATGTGTGTTTAAGACCAGGAAATAGCTGTCCACCCCTCTAAAAGGTGGTGCCGCCCCTTAAATTGGGGTACAATCGAGGCAGGGCCGAGCAACGTCGGCGCAGTAGAGTCCAGGATCGCGAGCACCGGCGCGCAGGGTTAGACGACGGTTTTTAGCGTCGAGTGAATAAGAAGAAAGTCGTTTTCATCGAATACGGGGATTGCGTAATAATTGCAGGCTGGTAGAGCTCTATGACAAACCGGCTTCGCGAGACACGCCGCGCGCACAATCACGTACGAGCGTTGCTTATGTGTCCCCACTCGCCCAACGTGTACGTGGAATTTCTTAATTTGGTCCGATCGACCTATTCTCTGGCCTGAATCGGTCGTAGCCGGCACGTACCCTCCGCTACCCGTTTTACCGTTTCGAGCGTTATCGAACCCCGCAGGAACGTCATCGTTGTTGCGGTACCATCGACGCGTCTCCCTTCCAGAAATTCGCGAGCCGAAAATGAGGAAAGCACGAGCTGTTCTCGCGAAAGTGGGACGCTTGGCACGCGTTTTCTTGCCAAATTGTCTTCGAACGGCACGATCGAGCCTCGCCAGCACGAAGGTACGTCCCGTTCGGTGCCGGAATGCCAATTACTCCCCACGCGCGTTCTCGTTATCTCGGGGGACGAGTTTCGGATCATTTTGACCGAACAATTTTGTTCAATTGGTCCGGTTGCCGCAAAAAAGGGATACCCGAAAGGTAATTCTCATTTCGATGTAATTATTATAAGGGGAATTCATGCCTTCGAGATTCAAATGAAAGTAACACAAACTGTATTGTTGATATTTTATATATCTCTGCATTCGTGCACATCCTCGTATATTTTTCCATGCATCCATTCGCCACAGATGCATAAACATGTCTAATGATAAAGAAATCACTATTTTTAATTTAAAGTGCTTATCTCGATAAGCTCACTATACCTTGACTCGATTTTCTACATCGTTAGTCCCAGTAGAAGAGCTAATCTCACTATCCTCGTAGGTCTATTCATATTCACAAGAATCTCTCTAACCGGAGCAAACGATCTCGTCTCTTTACATTTCGAATAACAAGATTAAACTCCTCCTTCATGCTCCAGTGTATCGATTCTTATTTTCACAGTACTCTTTTATGCACGGTGCATACCAATCTCGATTCTGAACCACAGACCTCGACCTCCAAAAGACACTGGTCCTCGATAGCCCATCCATTATCGTCTATCTTTCATTTTCCTGATGATTCCATCATTTTCGCGGGCCCCTCCCCGCGTTCTCGCCCCCTTTTTGCTCGCCTGGTTAGTATATCGTCCCCACCTTCTTGTACGCGACCTCCGTCGTGTTCGCGCCGAAAGCCGTATTTGGCTGTCGCGTTAACAGAGACCCGCGAAAGTGCAAGTAAGCTTTATCGCCGAGCCAGTCCCTCGAGCCGAGTGCCTCGAGTGCGCCCTCGAACTCCTTCGTCACCGGGGGGGCCCTCCTTCTCGAGGCGCCACTTTTTTTTGCCCCTCGCGAGTTTTCGAGCGGGGCACGATGACGTCGTCGTCGCGATTGCGCGATCATTGAAACATTCGTCGACGACGGGTTCCTCGAACGTTCTTTCCTGAAAAATGAGACGCCCAGGATGATCAGTTAACCCCTTTACACTTGCCATTTTCACTGAAGCAAGCTAGCAACTCCAGGCAGACTTCTCACGAGCAACGTGAAATTATTTTGTACATAAATTCGGGGTAGCATAGTGAAATATTTTATGACCTGTTACATTTTGGAGACTAAAAGCTTTTAGTATTAGCCTTTTGCACTCGAGGGGTGACTCTCAGTCACCACTAGGTTTTCTTTAGGTTTAATTTCTTTCGAACTCGAAGTGCCAATAAAATGATTGTCGTTGAGGCAAAGGTGATTCTCAAATCTCAAATTAGAGATCTCATTTTCGAAGTCAATATAATCTTAGTATTCGTGGCAGTAGAATGCTAAAAAAGCATCTCGAGTTGCTGGTAATACCAGAAAAAAGGCCTCGAGTGCAAAGGGTTAAAAGACCATTCCAGGCTTAACCCCTTGCACTCGAGACTCTTAGTCACCACTAGGTTTTCTTTAGGTTCAATTTCTTTCGAACTCGAAGTGCCAATAAAATGATTGTCGTTGAGGCAAAGGTGATTCTCAAATCTCGAATTAGAGATCTCATTTTCGAAGTCAATATAATCTTAGTATTCGTGGCAATAGAATGCTAAGAAAGCATCTCGAGTTGCTGGTAGATACCAGAGAAAAGGCCTCGAGTGCAAAGGGTTAGATTGTCCCAAAAGTTTCTTTCGCGACTTTCTATCATGCAGTGTTTGCATAAATGGACAACCTTATCTCTTAGAAGTTGACGTAACAATAATCGAGCAAAATGGATGGTACACAACTCGGTGATGTAACATAAAACATGAAATATAAAATATTGTGCACGTAGTATTCACTAATAAAACGAAAGAAACTTTTAGAACAACCTAATATTACGTTCTACCTTTTTTTTTTTATTCAAGTGCTCTTGAAAAGAAAAAAAAAGTTTCTCATACATTCCTTTGGGCATCACATTCGAACACATCGAACATCTTAACTCTTAGAAGCCTGATTTCCCAAATTAAACTTTAAAAAATATCAATGTATTTGAACAATTTTGACAGCGACGTTTATTTTTTTAACTTTTGTAGGTACGTACATACAGCCAAATATTAAAAACAAACCAGTTGCAAGTGAACAATTCGATTTAAAAGCCTGGTGTCATATTTGAAATTTAGAGCATGTAAGGGTTAAATTGAGGGGAATTAAACGGTACAAATGGTCAATACAATGCAAACAATATAGGTAGTAATAATGTAATCGAATAATTAGTCTCAATCAACACGCCTCGCAGCTCGAGAATACATACCAGCGGACGATTCTTTCAACAACATTTGAAATTGAATGCCCAACAACCAAAACAAGTAGTAGAGGAGGGGAGGGATTTGTCGCAACCTTTCATACGCGATAACGTGTCGGGGGTAATATTTAGGCGCATTTGACCTACGTCGCGCGAATCATCCGGACGTGTTCCGTCTCGTTAGCGTCGCGTCGACTCGAATGTG